ATGAATTAATCCCTGCATAATAATAGTGTTAATGTCCTATCTATCACTAGGAATAAACTTGTTGCATTTTTTCTATAAAGTTCAGGTCTTTGTGGTGAATATACATGACCAATTCACAATTTTATGGGTCATATATTCTTCTTCAAATTTCATATTTATCCATCTGTTATAGGATTTATTCATATATTTATTCTTAAATTAGGATTAATTAAATCTTTTTATACCTGGTGGGACATATTATTTGCTCTTATTGTATAAAGGGTGTCCTTTCTAAAACAATTACAATGGGACACTAATATTCACTTATAAAGTGATATTCGAGTCTCTCAACATTAATTAGGAGTTTGATAAATATATTAAGCCATTTCATTTTTCGAACATGCTCACGAATAGCTAGATTCTAATATTTGTTAAAATATGATCTCTTATCTAAAATGAGTCCAAATAATCTTATCCCCTATCCTCTCTCTATCTTAATATAAAATCTCAAGGCAAATTATGGCTCGAAGAGAGCTCATAAACTTCTACTAATTCCAGGTACTAACTAAGTTAATGTTGGAGTAAACCTTCCTATGAAGGTAGTGACTTATGATATTACCTTTATAATGAAAGATGTAGGGATAATCAGTAAACCAAATGTCAATCTAGAACTTTATATTATCTTTATTCCCTAATTTCCACCTAATCCCCTTTTTGAGTATCTAAATATACTTGAAGTGGTTTTCCTAGGTTTTTGAAGTAAATTTGGGAGTGTTATTGGTCTCGAGGACACTTTTAGTAGGAAAATATTTGACCTTTAAGATTTTGTTCCAGAAACTATTCTATTCATGAATAAGAGCCAACCAAGTTTTATTAAGAATTTTTCATTTTGGGTTTTCATATCTTTGGTACCAATGCAATCTTTATTTTTCACTTGATAGAGTCTGGACTAATTAACAAGGAGTATTCTTCTCTACCTCACATGGGATACCCAAATAAATTCTAGTGAGCTTATCAATATGGCTCAAAATAGAGTTAGCTAAAAAGGCCAATGGTATAGTGTATACAGGAATAATAGAGTGGTTTTCCTAACCATGGTAAGGTGGGGAATTTGCCAACCAGTTAACTTGAATCTTACCCGATCAAAAATACTTTAAAACATAATAAAGGTGGTCCTAGAATGGATAAAAGGGACTCCTAAGTACTTATCAAGGTTATTCATAAAGGGGATGATACTAGGTCCAATAAGTTGTTTGACCAAATCCTTATTCATATTCTTGGAGAAAAATAGTCTAGACTTAGAAAGATTGATTTTTTTTCCCAAAGTTAGTACTAAAGAGGTCAAACTACTTTTTTTCATCATACTCCTATGCTTCTTAGTTGCCTTAGCAAATATAATTAAGATAAAAAAATAAGAAATAAGAAAGGGCAAAGTCATTCCTCCAAATTTTGAAGGTTTTCAATCACTAACGCAACACAGTGGTGAATCATGTAATCCAACCGTTCGAAAAAAGGACACAAATATAAAGTAAGAAAGGGTCACTTTGTCTAATTCCTCTAAAAGGCCTAATATTTTCAAACAAGGTACCGTTGAAGACAACTCTCGTCGAAGACAACTCTCGTCGAAGGCGATACATGTAGCTCATAATGCAAGGAATCTAACTACTAAGGAGACCAACAATATAGGGTGTATCCTCAATGAAATCTCAACTCAATTTATCATAGGCCTTCTCCATATCCACTTTAATAGACATGAAGTCTTTCTTCCTTTTTCCTTATTCATTATATAAACGACCTTCTAGGCAATAATGATATTATTGATAATTTGGTGATTGACAACAAAATTGGCCTGATTCATGTTAATAAAAGAGTTGAGAATTGACTTCAACCAGTTAGCCATGACTTCAATGACAATTTTGTAAATAATATTATAGAGACTAACCGATTTAAAATCTATAAAGGTTTCAACATTGTCTTTCTTAGGTATTTAGGCAATAGTAGTTTCGTTAACAAAATCAATTTGTTCATTGCCTATAAAACATTTAGAGATAAATTCTAGCACTTTATGACCAATAATATCCTAGTGCCTCTAATAGAAATAGACATGAATGTGATCAAGTCTCAAAGATTTAAATGGGCCCATGGATCTCATAACATTGAAGATCTCGTTTTCCTTTATGGACTTCGCTATTCCAATTTCATCATTTAACCCGATTCAAGGGGGTAACCTTGCACTATGATGATATTATATGATCGCCTAAGAGTAAAACAAAAGATTATTTGAAAAGGACCTCAAGTAGGTAGATATTAAGTTTATTAAGGGTTCAAAAGGAATCCATTCAAAGTGGATAATAAAATAGGTAATAGACAAAAGCCTAATTCAAAAATATTGGATGAATAGAATTGCTGGTAAAAGTAAACTCATATGGACTTTATTCCATAATATATAGAGAATAAGTCTACCACTTGATAGATTAATGAAGTTCACATCCTAGGGGATGAATGATAATCAAACCTTCAATGGGCTATACAAATAACGCAATTAGAGCCCTAAAAAATTGGTCACAAATGGTAATTCAATCTTTAATAGGTCATACAAGGAATATAATTAGAGCTATGGAAAATTACTCTATTAGGAATGATAATTTAACTTTAATGAGTCATACAATGAATATAATTACAACTCTAAAAAAATTAGTTAGAAAAAATATGATAAAAATACTTATGAATTTTTCTAGTTGCACTCAATTATTGAGTTGATCGAAATGATATTGTAAGATAAAAATTAAAATTATTGGTTTGTTTGTTTTAGTTATAAAGAGTAGCTGATTATCAATCACGACATAATATTTTTTTAACCACTCAATCAGTTTTTAATTAAATTTCAGCATTTTTAATATTCTTTTAAAATAAAAAGATGCAAATAATACTTTACGCATAAAAATAAATTGAAACTCCTATTGGAAGGCCTATAATTTTGTTGTTCAATATCTCATTTTGCACTAACAAAATTAACCTCATCAACTACAAAAATATACAAAAAGGCAAAGTAAATAAGAATTTGTGTGTATAATAAAACTTATAATCTCACTATTAAACTAATTATATATTTATCAATATGTAAAACTTACAAAGGTAGTCGTTAGAATATATATAACAGAAATTAAAATGAAGGGTACGTACTGAAAGTTAGAAAATTAGAAAATTCTTTAACAAAGGAAGTAAAATTGGAAGATTGAAGCAATTGGATGATTTAAATTGCATTTATGCAACAAATGTCAAAGCCCATATATGCAACAAATCCGATGGTTTACGGTAGCATGCGAATTAACTCATCAGGAAATGGAAACGTCATACTCTTCATAGAACCACACGACCTCGTCTAATTATAGCATCTTCCTCCACCGAACCGAAAAATCAGAAGCTCATCTTCAAAAATAGCAAATGCAGGAGTATAAAACCTTCCCTAGGCACCATCCAAAAGAGACAGCTAGCGCATCTGCGAGCTCAAAAGAGAATAAGTTTACATTTTCTTGGATGCATGGCAATGTCTATATGGAGACCTCTCTCCGTTCTCCCTCTCTTGTTTATCTCTGCCATCGCGCAGTTCTCTTTTGAATTTTCAGGCCACCATGACGTCAAACCCAAAGTGTCACTGTCGGCTGATATTCATGACTTACCCAATGTACTTGATTTTTTCCCGGAACACAGAGAAGATATTCTGGGTGATGAAGCTGCGGCTACGAAGGGTGGCAGAAAGAGAGATTCATCGTCTGTAAAAACTGATTATCTGGGAAAATGGGAGTTGTTTTCCAGGAATTCTGGTGTGTCGGCCATGCATGCCATCTTGCTTCCCGTCATAAACAAGGTGTTGATGTATGATGCCACCATTTGGAGAATTTCCCAGATCAAGTTGCCTCCTGGCAAGCGTTGTCATATTGTTAAACAGGCCACGGGCAAAAAAGATTGCTGGGCTCATGCCGTCTTGCTCGATATTAATACCGCGGCTCTAAAGCCACTCATGGTACCCACGACCATAATCTCTTTCTCTTTTTATCTTTTTCTATTCATCAACCAGTTGAATCCGTGTTATATCTTTTATTTTCGTTATTCTATGCTAACTTGTATTCTTCTTTATATTATATTTTCTATTGGATTTTTTTATGGCAAAATTATTTATTTATTTAATGATTGTAATTGAAAACGGAATCTGGTGCATGACACAGCTGGACACCGATACGTGGTGCTCATCGGGAGGTTTATCGGTGAATGGAACATTGGTTGGAACCGGTGGTTTTCAAGGAGGAGCAAATACAGTTAGATACCTGGGAATTTGCGACAACTGCGACTGGGTAGAATATCCAAATGCACTCGCAGCTCCCAGATGGTACTCAACACAAGCAACTTTAGGAGACGGTTCCTTTATCGTCGTTGGTGGACGCGCCGCCATGAGCTACGAGTTCATTCCGGCGGAGGGAACCAAGAACACAAAAATCTTCCAATCCAAACTTCTTCAAGAAACCACCGACAAATCCGAGAACAACCTCTATCCATTTGTCTATCTCTCCACCGACGGCAACGTCTTTATCTTCGCCAACGACCGTTCCATACTCCTCAATCCAAGGACCAACCAGGTCATCAAACAGTACCCAGTTCTCCCCGGCGGCGCCCGCAACTACCCCGGCTCCGGCATGTCCGCTCTCCTCCCCATCAGGCTTTTCCAGCAGAACCCAGCAGTCATCAACGCCGAAGTCTTGGTCTGTGGCGGTGCCCCTCACAACGCTTACGAGCTCGCCGGACATAAAGTATTCGGGCCGGCGTTGAGGGATTGCGGCAGGATAAGCATCACCCACCAGAATCCCAGGTGGAAGATTGAGATGATGCCAACGCCTCGTGTAATGGGTGACGCCATGATCCTCCCTAACGGAGACGTGTTGCTATTGAACGGAGCCAAGCAGGGTAGCGCCGGCTGGCACTACGCCAAGGAGCCTAACCTGAACCCTGTATTATATATGACACACGCCAAACGTGGGTACAGATTCCGGGAGCTGGCCGCAAGCAACATTCCTCGCATGTATCATTCTTCCTCCGTCCTCCTCCCTGACGGCCAAGTGCTGATAGCCGGCAGCAACACCAATGACGGCTACGTCTACAATACGGAATACCCAACGGAGATGAGGGTGGAGAAATTCTCGCCGCCCTACTTGGACCCAAAGCTCAGGAAACTTAGACCGGACATCATAAAGTTTTCCATGCCGAAGCGCATATCGTACGGAAACAGGTTCCATTTGCAGATTCGTTCTCGGGAATCCGATGTAAGCAAGGATAACATAATGATTACAATGTATTCGCCAGCTTTCACGACGCACGGCATCTCCATGAACCAGAGGCTGCTGATACTGGGACTCAGCGATGTGCTCCCCAACATTGTACCAAGGGTTCATGGCATCACCGCCGTGGCACCCCCCTCCGGTAACATCGCTCCACCCGGGTACTACATTCTGTTTGTTGTGTACCGCGGCGTACCCAGTGTTGGCGAGTGGGTTCAGATCTTGTAGGTTATATATTTTGAATGCCTCCCAAAGTTGCCGGTATTATTGAAAACGTTGTTTGAGAGGCTGTAATATTTTGGGGGATAAGATACTACTTCCGTACAAGTCCATAACTGTAAAACCAATTCGAAAGTTCTGTGAGGATTAAACAATTAACTTAGCTAGATCTTTTCTCTTTTTCCAAATTAACCTAAGCTCTTGATTAGCTACTTCCTTTTTCTTTTTCCAAATTAACTTAATCACTAACCAAGAAACTTTACGTTGAAATATAAAATAAGCTTGTCATCAGCACGCGTCTATAAGGTTTATACGTATATATATCATCTATCTCTGCAGGTAAGTTGGTAGTCTGCAGCTATGTTGTTCGTGGCGGCATTTCTCCCATGCACGATCGACCATATTCATCTCCACCGTGTGTCAGCTAATATGTTTTCTCAACAAATACTATAACGTGCAGAATTCTTCAATTACAAGCTCCTGGGAATTGAAGTGAGGTATATATATATATATATGTAACTCCAGCCGTTAGAAAAATCAGGCAAGCTATATTATGTTGGCAAGGAAATCTGAGACCTAGCACAAAAAAAGGCGTCTTTGCATACATGTGTGTGTGTGTGTAGTTACATGCATACTACGTGACCCATTGGTTTATTCATAGGAACATAACTAATAACCAAATCTTATGACGTAACAAGAAAATACAAACACAAAAACTAGATTCAATATCCCCTTTCGGATTCTCTTTTACACTGTATTATATTCTTACGGATGTAATATAAATAAGATCAGAACTGCTTTTGCAATTGATTCCTGTGGAAGTCAAAGACCGTGATTATAAGGCCCAGATTTAATATATATATATATATATTATATTTCTTACAAAAAATACAAATACCTCCCAAATCCGTGGTTGGTCTTAGCGGGGAATATTTGGCTAGAGGGCGACTTATATAAACCCCCTAGAAACTAGACAGAAACCATCTCCTTCCAACTACACTAGTTGACAGGAAGCTAAAGGGCGACACAATATCTTCATTAGAGTGGATATGACGCTATTCCCAGCTCTTTTGATGGCTCTGTTCATCACTGCATTTGCATTGGATAATAGCTTCTTAGCCACTGCTAATTTCCCAAACAGCATGTACATCACCTTGGGTGCTAACCATTCCGAATTTTTGGGCAATAACGATGACCTTCAACTTGTTTTATATGAAAGTCTGGGCATGAAGCTTCTACCTGCTCCGGTCAATAACAATGCAGATACAAGATTCTCTTTAACAGGCATCAGTAAATAGACAAATTAAATTAATAACATAAACATTTTCCCGGCACTTGAATTAACATTGACCAAGGTATAGACTTTCATTATCTGGTATTCATTCAAAAGAGCTTTCTTATTTGGAAGGATTAAAATGTTGATCAAGTTAGCACCTGGGAATTCTGCTGGAACAGTTACAGCCTACTAAGTGCGTGCTCAACAAAACCTAATAAAGCATAAATAACTATCTGTTTTCTGTTTCTTCTGTCTTCAATCTTAAATGCTTTCATAGGAGATCATGTGATAATGAATAAAAGCAAACAAAATAACAGCTAAAGCACCTGTTACTCCTAAAATTTCCATGTGAAAATCTTCTTCTCAAATGAGAAACCGTGGATAATGAACTGGCAATCTAAAAAATAAAACTTACGAATTCTCTGTTTGAAGTTTTGCAGCTATCCTCTACCTGAGAAAGTCACGATGAGATAGATTTCGAGTTCCTGCGGAATTGGATCCGGAGAATCACAGTATCCACAAAAATATATACACTCGAGGAACTGGAAAGAAAGAATAGGAATTTTATCTTTGATTTGATCCAACTGCTAATTTCCATACAACACCATTCACACTCATGCAATGTAACTTCATGTTATAGATACCTGACTTTCATTATATATTTTCATTAAATTGCACAACTAGTAGATATCAAATTTTTTCATCATGTTCACTTGAAAAATTAGTCAAGTCTTGACAAAGCCAGGAGTTATATGTAAATTTTAGAACTTTGAGATTACAACTGTAATTTCAGGTGGTACATCAACAATATACAATCTGTGTTTTCAAGAACTACGAGAATGAAGGGATTGCTTACCCAAATAAGAAAGGGATGAAGGTATGCTCCAGATACAGAATGCAGATAACTGGGCAACCAGAGGTGGACATGACAAGATTAACTGGAATACTGCACCTTTCTTAGCCAGATTCCATTGGATTTCAGAATAGAGCTTCCCTGGGAAGGACCAACCAGCATTACTTAATGCACGTCCAGATACCCTGCCAACTGGTGGACCTCCAAACCATGCAGCCAACTAAGCAATGCCAAAAATGGTCAGCTGAATTGGGTTAGAAAAAACCACATGATCTACAACTACTACAAATATATAAAAACATTTAATGGCCAATTTCCTCCCAAATGTTTAAAACAGCAATTCTAATATCTGCAGTCAGGCAATACAAGAGGAACCTAGAGTTGTTCTGCAAAAGATGAACAATCTGGCAAATCCATCATTGGTGTTTTTACCCCCTTTGTCAGTTGATGAGAAATCAAAACCCTCCACAATCCCTGTGTTTGAATCCATCGAATCCAATTCTTTTTCTTGTGCTTCAATAATATAATTCAATTTCTGTGTTTTGTTCTGTCAATCAAATGTGAATCACTCTGATAAGAAAAATATGAAGCTTGATAACAAGTAGATAGAACAATAGACCAAACCAAACTCTACAGGCTTGTGAGGCAAAAAATCAGTTAGTACATTTTAACTTTGAATTACGCATAAAAACAAAGGGAGAAACCAACTTTTTTGCTGATCTTTAGTCAAGCTACTTCTTCAAACAAAAGCATAGGAGATTCAGCATGCTGAATACATAAGACCATTAGCTGAATTAAATATTAGACTAAATTGGAGATGCATGATATAGGGCATTCTAATAGATGACTTGAGGCCAAACCTAACGGTGGATATTCGAAAGCTGTGATATGTAAAAGCCCAATCAAGTATCCTACAGTCACATCTTCTCCCGCTGACCAACAGCCATATTAGATCATTCATAAAATTTATACTCGCTCCAAATATTTACCAAAGCAACATGACAAAGAAATGTATGCTTTAAGTTAGGCAATTACGCTCTTGGGCATGTTCGTAACCAATACATCAAACTCCAAAAAACTAAAAAATTTCAGCTTTAGATCCAAGTCAATTACCCATTAATACATTGCTTTTCTCAGTGTCCAAATACAGATGCCCGAAATGGGAAGAAAGAAAAAACCTGTTAACTTCTAGAATCAAAAAATACTCAAGCAAATGAGTAATTGAATCAAAATTTCAGAGAATATGAACATGTCATGTGATACACAGCCAAATACCCGAAACAATAAAGCCCGTACCCAACAAAGCGAGCCTGACCCGAGTCTGCTCTCCCAAGAGCATTCCAAAGATGGCAGTGGCGGCAAACGTCGTCGCATTGGTGACCGGAACAGCCAACGAGATCGGCGCATCGCTTATGAGAGCGAAAAAAGTAGCAGAGGCCGATAGGTTTATCAAGAACGGAAGCGAGTACTGCCAAAACAAGAAAAGCTTGACCCAACTTTCCAACGAAACCAAGATCTTTCGACGGAGGTTAGGCGGATTTGACTGTGGAGCAGAGGACGATTTAATCGTTTGGTCCCAAAGAAGCGCGCCACGGCGCATTAGGGCGTTCGTCGCGCCCCAGACTAAGCCGACGGCGACCATCCTTTCCATGTCTCCTATCATCCGATCAATCAATCAATTGATCGGTCTTTTGATCTGTCTATCTCTGCTTTCCACTTCTATGCTATTTGGCGAAGCCTGCTTCGGCTGTCAGGTGAAGAGGTCCGGTAAAGCGTAAACGAAGCAAAACGTCATCGTTTAGCATGAGGACAAAAGGAACCTCACATTCCGATCATATATGTCTCATGCTGATTTAATTTTGTTTGATAAAATCTTGTCCTTTTTTTTGGGTAATGCTGCATTTTTTAATAGGAAAAAACTATGAATAAGCGAGATCTAAAACATCAGTGAAATTTGATTTTAATAAAAATTTGGACTTTGACAGTAAAAAGAAAAGATCTAAAAGGTAATTCTAATAAACATTTAAAAAACTAAAAGTACAGTAACAAAGAAATTATAAATAATAAAATATTAAAAATTTAAAATTTTTAGAAATTAATGAAATTAACATATAATTTATAAACATACATAATTTCTAATATCATATGCATAATAATACATACAATCACATTAATAAATAATAAAATATATAAAAATATTTACAGTATAAATATTTCTTATATAAATTTAAGATTTTTGAAGAAATAAATTAACAAAACAAAATCCTCCTCTTACTTTAAAAAAATCAAAGATGGAGAACTTTTTGAGAGAGAGAGTGAGAGTCCTTTTTTTTTTGTTCAGTACGTTTTCTTTTTCTTTTGTATCTTTTTTTTTCTCTATTTTTTACAAATTATTAAGTAGGCAATTTCTTCCTCTTTTTTGGATGTGGTAATTAACTACCATTAATGAAATCGGGTGGGTCTCATTATGGTTGACCTACCCAATTAAATTCAATATCTCTCACTCACACATGAAGGGACCACCGCTCTCTTCAGTTCTACAAGATTTATATGTAAATAGGTTGTGCGACCATGTATACTTTGAGAGCACTTTAGTTATACATTCGTTATGACTATATAATTTCTCGAATAGTGAAGCTTGGAGTATGTATATCCTAGATTATATATTATATTATATCTCTAACGATCTTATTTAACTAATAAATCGAGTATATTTATAATTATATTTTTATATATAAACATAATTGGTCGGCCAATAAATGTACATCAATGGTGTGATATATTCTTTAAATTATGATCTTCATTTTATTTTGATTCTCTTACCTTTTATTTAATTCATTTTTTTTAGAGATATCTCATTAGATCGAATCATTCATGATATTTTGGTTATATCTTAAGATGGCGAGATTTAACTAAAAGATTCAAGAAACAAATTAGAGTCATGAGAGTATTAGATGAGATTCTCTTAAAATCTCAAGATCTTACACGAAATTAAAATTGAGATATCACTTTTATTACCCTTTGGTCATATTATTTGCACATGTGGTATAAATCACATGTTACAATACTCTCTTGTTTCCCGTAAAGTGCATATCTTTTATTTCTTATAAATACCATACATATTGTAGTCAGATATACTCAATATCTAAATTGAGTTCACATAAATACTTTTTCAACTTTTCAGAATTCTAATATGGTAATAAAATTTAGCAAGTTTATTCACTTAATGTCATAAATTTAGCAAGTTTATTATGACTTAATTCTTAATTCCTTATTCTGATGAGTGGCGATAATTATTAGTATTTAAGCTAGCTCTCAATTGTCACCTAGATAATTAGCTTAAATTTGTCTTATCTTTGTTATACCAAATGACGAAGGCGATTGCCTAAGTGAGAAGATCAATCTTTATATCTATCCGGCATATTTTCTCTAAATATATAGATATATACAACATATGTTTACATGTTTATATATGCATGCTCTACCACAAATGTAAATAAGGTCAATAAGAGAGAAAAAACAAAGTCTTTCACTGGTAACATAATCAGTGAACATGGTTGGTAAATATATAAAATATAAGTACATTTATCACTTAGAGTTAACATGCCTATAATATGTATATCTTGGTATAGACTTTGTAAACTACCATATCGTGCGTAGATGTATACTTCATGTTCACTTTTTTTGTGCAATTATATCCTTCATGAAATTGTGTTTAATATTTATGTATTTTATTTTTCCGTAAAATTTGGGATCTTTGTATATGTTATTACTGTTTGACTGTCACAATTCACAATTACTTATTCAATAGCAATATTATTGACTCTCAAATGCTCCATAAACCTTTTTAACCAAATAGCTTCTTGTATTGCAGCTGAGAAAACTACAAACTTAGCTTCCATTATAGAAATGGCTATACATGATTGTTTCTTACTACTCTATGATATGACATCACCATTTAGTAAGAAAGCATATCCAAAGATAGATTTTCTCTCATCTAAATCTCATCCCCAATTAATATCTGTATAGCCATTCAAGTGTAAATCAACCCCTTGATAACACAATGAATAATCAGTTGTGCCTTTAAGATAATGTAGGATTCTTTTTACCATTTTTCAATGCGTTTGATCAGGGTCGGATTGATAACTACTTACCATTCCAACTGCATGACCTATGTCAGTCCTTGTACACATCATAACATACATAAGGCTTCTAACTGCACTTGAATAAGGAACTTTACTTATTTGTTTCTTTTTTTTTGTGTTTTAGGGATTAAA